TTAACATTTTTTTAAAAAATAATAATTTGAAATCGCTGCTTCACCAGCGATTTCCTTATTTTATTTTTTAAAAAAATAATCACATTTTTCAAAATCGCTGCATATGAAGCGATTTTGCTTTTTTGGTGAGGTAAGTTGTTGTTGATGCAACGATTTTACCGTTTTGGTTAATATAAAATTGTATACACCGTTTAGAATTTTTGTTAATATTTTTGTACCTTTAAACTCTGGACTCCAGAGAATGATACTCACACTAATATTTTTATTTGACTTTAAAATTTTAAAATTTCTCTATTAAAAGATATTGATGTTACGACAAATGAGATCATGACTAAAAGGGGAGAATAAGATGGTGCATATTACTAAATCATGGAATTCATTGTCAATTGTTGATTATGAATAATTCATATATGATTTTTAAAGTTATTAACTTAAAGATTTTTTTTATAAAAAAAAATGAAAAAAATGTGGATAATGCAACAAAGTACTTTGAATAAAAATCAAAATCAAAATAAAAGAAAAATAGAAGTAGGAGAAACCTTATTTTCCATGTAAAGTTAATCCAAAATATTACTTACGTAGTAGTTAAAAGTTTCTTTTTCAACAAGGTAAAATTTTGTATATTTCATTTCATTTTATTTTTACAGTAAATTAATGTTATATCATACATGGAAACTCATGTATGTGATTATCATGAATTAGTAGCCTCCCAATCTTCAAAATTATGAAAATCTTTGTGATAGTTTTGAAGTTCTAAATATTACTTAAATAGAACTAGAAAATTTATTTTTATGTAAGGTATAAATTTAATTAATTTAGAATTGCTAAATAATTGTGATTTCTCATCTCATGTGATAAATATAAAATTCACTTGCCTAATTAAAACTTATAACTAATTATGAGGGGCTTCATCAATAACAACATCGAGATATAGATTCTATCAATTAATTATTATTTTATGAATGTGATTTTTTAGCATTCAATCTATCAGAAATATACAACCTACGAAAGAGTTTTACCTTTTGACATATTAATATTATAAATCAAGTTACATTGATCATAAAAATTATATCAGGATTAAACGTAAAAATATTTTTAATGAATTAGAGAAGTTGTTTTGTAAAATATTTCGAATTTAAACAAATAAAGTTACTTGGTCCTTTCGATAAACATAAATAATATAATAGCACAAGAAATTGGAATAGAGTCACCCTCATAATCAAGATCAAATAATAAGATCAGTTTATGAGATAAGAAACTCCATATACTAAATACTTCTATTCAAATCATACTTTATTAAATTAAGTAAACAAAATCACAGTCAATACATATATAGGATGAAAAAACAATACAACAATTTAAACCGCACTATAGACTTAGATGAATACGAAAAAAATTGTAGCTTAAAGATACATGACCTTGGCTAATCTTGGTGGTAAGGTAGAAAAATGATTAATCTTAGATGACTCAATTAAATCATTGCACGGTGAATTTGATGGTAAAGCCCAAGTAAATCCTTGAAGAAGCCTAGCAAGTAATTGTTGAACAAGTTTTACTGCTGGACAACCTCGTCTTCCAATACTAAATGATAACAAATGTAAGTTTGAATCAGTGAGAACTAATTCATCATCATCTTCCACTTTGAGATGGCACTTTGGCTTGAACTTTAATGATTCCTTCCAAACTCTAAAATTCTGGCCAAGTCCAAGACGACTTAATAACACTATACTCCCTTTAGGGATGAAATACTTTTCAGCAACGATGGTATCAGAGTCAGACACGTGAGGAACATTAAATGTATACTTACAATCATAAAATTATCCAAAGTTGATAAAACAACACAACAAATACTTACAAGAACTTGTGCCTTAATCTCTTTAACATTCATTTGTATCTTTGATCATAATAAGAACATCAAGAATATCCTCTTCCAAAGTTTTTTTATTTGCCATCTTTCCATATTTGAATCCTCTTATCAACTTCAATATCAATATGTTTTGTTGCTTTATCATATGCTTTCTTGATAATTGCATTGCCTTGTGACCATCCAAATCAAAAAGAATATTTAAACATATATTCAATAAGTTTAAAAACTGCATCAATTTGTTCCTCATGATCTCTTGCTGAAAATCATATTCATTTCCACAATGATACCAACTTGTTACTTTTCTTAAGTTAATCACAAGTTGATTATTGCTGCATTGATTATAAACTAATCGATGAAATGATGTTGGTGACAACACATGACAAGTAAGAATTTTTTTCACCACTTTGGACAAAAATTGGACATGCAAATGAGAAATAGAGTCCTGACTCTTCAAGAACTCACAAGCAAGTTCAGGAATAATTACCAAAGACAAATGCAAGCGATTTCAGTATTCTTTTCCTCCATAATTTTTGTGTGTTTTCATCATTTTTGTCTTGTGATTGTACGTTAAGGCTAAGGTCTTGCACTATTTATTATAGCCTATAGGGGCTGCCTCAACAAAGTGGTATGATAAAATAGTTTAGTAAAATTTATATGATTTAGTTTAACTGATCATCATATAATTTGAGAAACTTTATTAACTTTGCAATGTCTCAAAACTAAGATGCTGGCTAAAAAAATGTAGTTGAGACAAAGAATGCTTCCTATAGTTTAATTTTTAACATAATAGCATATAATATGCGGCATAAGAATGACCACAAAATTAAAACATATTATTTTGTACTGAACTAAATTCTTATGCCCTCGTGATTTTCTATCCATTATTTAGAGAATTTTTAATCAAACTAAGTCATTGTATAAAATAATTTACCAAAGTAATATATTTTTTAAAAATTTTACAAAACTAGTATAAACGTATTTCACGGTAACGTTTTAAGGTATATTTTATTTTTTAAAAACTAACAGCATTAGGTTGATATACGTCACTGTAAATAACGTTTTACTTTTAAAACGTTATTTCAGTAACGCTTTTCAAATATATTTATGCATATTTTTATCTTGAACTGCAACAATTTTTTCATTAATGATTTGATTTCTACAAATTGAGAAATCAAACCAAAATTTTTGGAAAAAAAGATCAATGCTGAATATAAAAACTAAAGAATTGAATTAATTCAATTGAACCCGAATTTTTGATGTTTATGTCTATTCTTATCTTGATCAATAGTAATTTTTTTCATCAATGATATATTTAATTGCTACAATTTGAGAAATCAAATAATTTTTTTTGAAAAATTGTCAATGTCAAACCTAAAAAACTAAAGAATTGAATTAATTCAATTCAACTTGATTTTTCGATATTTATGTATATTCTTATCTTGAACTACAATATCTTGAACTACATAACTTTTTTCATTTATGATTTTACTGTGCTACAAATCGAGAAATCAAATCAAAATTTTAAAAATATTAACATCAAATCTAAAAACTAAAGAATTCAACTCAATTCAACATGATTTTTCAATATTTATGTCTATCTTTATCTAAAAATACAATTTCTTATTTCATTATATTAATATCAGACCTAAAAATTAAAGAATTGAATTAATTCATTTCAACCTGAATTTTTTATATTTATGTCAAATCTTATCTTGATGAGCTGCAATTAAAAAAAAATCCATTAAGTATTTAGTTGCTACAAATTGAGAAGTCAAACTAATTTTTTTTGAAAAAGTTATCAATACTGAACTGAAAGATTAAAGAATTGAATTGAATTAATTCAATTCAATCTATTTTTTTAGTATTTATATTTATTCTTATCTTGAATTACGGTAAAAATTTTACTGATGATATAATTGCTATAAATTGAGAAACTAAACCAATTCATTTTGAAAAAAAAATATCAATGTCAAACCTAAAAACTAAAGAATTGATTAAATTTAATTTAATTTACTTTTTAGATATTTAATTTAATCCTAAACTGTATAATAGATATTTCTATGTTCTATACTCAATTAACTGAAAAACAAGAAAATTTCTTTTTCAAAGTGTCGTACAGGCACAAGACTTTCATATGATTATCTTCAATGCAACTTTTATCTGTTTAGAATGATTATCTTCAGTGTAGTTTCAATAATTTAATTACAACGAATTGACAAATCAAACAAAAGATTTTGAGAAAAATATAAATATCCAACCTTAAGTTGAAGAATTAAATTAAATTCAATTCAATATGATTTTTTGATATTCATGCCTATTCTTATATTGAATTACAATATAAAAAAAATCATCAATGATTTAACTGTTATAAATTGAGAAATCAAACCAAACTTTTTGAAAAAATATCAATGTCAAACCTAAAAATTAAAGAATTGAATTAATTCGATTCAACCTGATGTGTGTATGCTTATCTTGAAATTGCTATGCATTGATAAATCAAACCAATCTTTTTTTTCAATCCGATTTTTTTGATATTTATGTCTATTCTTATTTTAAACTATAATGATTTTTTAATTCAATGATTTAATTGCTATGAATTGAAAAGCTAAATCAATTTTTTTTGAAGAATATCAATACCGGACCTAAAAAAACTAAAGAATTGAATAATTCACTTCAATTCAATGTAATTTATGCTTTACAATAATTGTTTCTTCAATTATCGTACTGACATGATGTTTTTCGTTGGCAGCTTTTGAATCACAAGGTTTTCCTATAATTATGTTCAATAAAACATCAAGAATCTTACTCTTTGCCAAGAAAATAATATTTTTTTAATAAAATAAAATGTAAAATATCATTTTATATCAGACTTTTTTTTTATGCAATATCGTTTTATATCTCTCAATAGTTGACCTGAGCTATGTTTGGTCAATTTACTCATTTTGTTTTAAAATCATATAAAAAAATTGTGGTTTTTTCATTAAATTATTAAAAGTGATTATCAAAATTATGTGTCTCAAAATGAAATTTAGTTAGTGACATTAGTTTTGGAATGGATAATTTGATCTAGGAATCTATGTTAGCGTTTTCAGTTCGTAGTTTTCAAGTGAATTTGAGCTCTTGAGTTGAAAGTTTAAGTGTATTTAGATCAAATTGACTTTGATCACCATTCGGAGTGTGGACAATCAGTTCGAAATTCGTAAGACACCATTAAATTCGAGAGATTTAGGTCTAAGTGCGGTTAAATTTTCAGAGGCTTCGAGGGCAATTTGGTATTTATAACACCCCAAAAAAAAATTGAGCTAAGACTCAAACCAATCTTTGTTGTGAGTAAGATTTTATCGAGAAATTTAAGTTTTCACAGAGTTGGTTCCGTTCACCCACACGCCAATTTGGTGAAGAAAAACATGTCTAAGCTTAGAAGGAAAGGAAGAAATCAAACCACCCCTCTAAAAACGATTGAGATGTCTTTAGAATAGAGGCTTCACTTAAACGGTCATAACTTTCTACTCTGAGCTCAAAATAAAACAAATATGGTGGCATAAGAAAGAGGGCTCAAAAATCTTTAATTTGATAAGCCATGGACCACTTAATTATCTATGTGCTAAAATATATGATCATTGCAGTTAACCCAAAATAAAAAGATGTTTCAATTAAGATGATATTTCAATAAAAATATAGTTTTTTGAATTAAATAGTGTGGTTTTTTCTTAATGTTGTACAGTCCTACTCAGTACTCCTTCACTCTATCTTGTTCTATTATGTAATTATCATATTATGTTTCTAACTTCCTTTTTTTTTTGGACTCTGTCCATTCATGAATCTATTTTTACTGTTCATCTCTTTCTCTTAGCTTTTGTTCTTAAAATTAATTTTCTTTAACTACACCCCAGATTCGGTCATTCACAGTTCATCCACGAACTTTCGAACTGACCCCACAATTTCCTAGGAATTTACAAGTTAATCCATCAATAATTTTAAGAGGCTAAGAGACTAACCATATACTAAGTAAAATAGATTCATGATGATATATAAACTTAACAATATTTTAAAATATATTTATGATAAAACTCATATATTTACATAAACTTAGCACACATAATTTACATATATGAGAAGTTGTAGTAGAAACATAAATATGAAACTTACATTATAAGAACAGAGTGAAGTTTCCCTTTCGGGAAACCGAACGACTTCCAAAGTAACTTTTCACAAAACTTGAAATAAAGTCTAAGAAACTAAAGAAAAATATATATATATATTTTTTTATAAACAAAGAGG